TTGGATCTCATGTGGGAACATCATCCTTAAACATTCTAAACCTTGAAGAATTCTAAGGATTCCAATTTCGTTCTCCGTATGTGGGAATTTAGGGTTTTAGTTATTACTTGAAGGGAAATGTCAACTGTGAAAGAAAATCAAATAAATTCCGGTCAAAAAGTCCTACACTTTGGAAAGTTTTGAGAAGAATCCTATACTAGGATGAAATACGAGCTTCCTAGTTGCACTTTTTGGGAGTGCACTCAGAACGTTTGAAGAAATTATACCAATAGAAACAGTTTCTCGCAACTTCCAAGTTAGGAGATTGAGCGATTGCAAAGAACAAACAATATGAACTTCGAACTTTCCTAAATCAATGTGTTATGTTTGAGAATATTTCAAAATATTTAAGAACATACTTATTAAGCAAGGATATAGAGGGGACGGAAGCGTCATGGAGCATACTCACAGTCGCCTACACCTTAGCGACCTTAAGACATCAAAATCAGAACATGATTACTGTTTTAAATTACTGGTGCATTCATAAACTTGCACTGCTGTCAATTGTGCTTTTCTTCCAATCTTCCAACTATATCTTAAAACAGCCCCAGTTTCTCAAAGCTTTATAAGTAATACTTTATCAGTTTGTTGTGACCGGCTTTTCACGAACGAGAACGCGATTGGTATAATGGAAGCAATTACTATTATTATAACCAATTGTAACAGTGATTATTTTACTGAACTCGTTTTGTTTGACAGTATCAAAATCACTTCGTTCCGTTGTCCGTCTTGTTCGCTCGAACTCCCTTACTCTCCGCCTTTTTGCCTGTATTCTTTGGCACGTCTCGGTATTCATTCGATACCACGAGATCGCCAATAAATGTACCTTATCTGGACCAATTACATCCTTCTGGTATTCGACCTATCGAATGATCTAAGTCGTTTTCTGGTGCGTAATCTTATTGTAGTGGCGATCATAGTCAATCGAGACTCGACGCCATCTACATGTGATTTTGATTAGGGTTCCACGCAAGTTATTTCGAAATGGTAGTGGTATTTTTCCTCGTACAGTAAGTCGTTTAGTTTTGATTGTGTGATATATGTCCCAGCTCTTTGTGTTCAGTGTGTGGGTTGTTCTCTCTGTAAATTCTACTATCAACTGTAGTGGTGCAAGCAAAACATCGTTGTGGTAGACTTATATGCTTGTTTCCGGTCAAGGATAGAATGCAGTACAGCAACCGAAAAAGGGTTATCACAACGTGTGCAACAATTATCGTTTGCATATGAGGTATTGCAAGCCTTTGTAATAGATGTAGGCATGATACAGGGAAAAAACATCCTGAGAAAGGACAAATAACGGATAGCTCTAAAATATACGACTTGACGGTTTCAGCTGCTGATCCCTATATTAACGCAGGACAGGTTATGAATGTGCAAAGCCTGGACCATGTAGATTTCATCAAGACACAAATAATGCTAGTGATTGGCTTACTAATGCTGTTGAATGTTCTACGAACTCGTGGATAATTTGTAGACATTTATCAAACACCGGCAAAATTACGTCAAGAATATCGCATCCAAGTTATCAGGTGTTTTATCTAGACAGAAAGTCTTGTTCCGGATATTTCTTTTATATGTCCTAAAGCTAGGTTAGGGACTGTCATTATGGCTTTTTCAAAAGCTGCTTATAGTTCAATAAGCGTTCTAACACGGTATTTATTTGGTGACAGATGGCTTCTGTTCATCACTTAAGAATGAACAAGGAAATGTTTTGCATCATGGGGCTGTAACTAATATCGTTTTTGAATTCTTTTTGACAGTTATCTGGATGTCATTTGAATCATATCTCTCACCATATTAATTTGTGTAATCTAATCGTTAAGTTGCCTAAAGATGTTTACGACGAAACAATTATTGTATAGTTTTGAACTGGTTTTTCGAATCATCAATAACTGTGGATTTGTTGCTAAGTTGTTCAGTAACTAGATTATTATGCATATACTTTCCATGACTCATCAGCTACAGGTAGACTCAGAGAGCACTGTTGTACGGTTTGTAATTCCCAAGTCGTTGGGCGACTGTTAATTACTGTACACTCTATTCTTAGCTACGTATACTATTGAGATTTTTTATAACCCATCCAAGGAACATGGTACAATCAAGAAGATCAATCACAAACTTCATTTCATTTGGTACCACCAAAGGCAAACAGTGAGTAGCAAACAGATCAAACGATACGGCTATCACTAAAGATAGTTACGGAAGACCTAGAAATAAGAAACCAAGCTATGGAAATTTCGCCCCCTCAGCATAACTCCTATCACAGAAACAGGAAGTACATCGCGAATGAGCAGACGTCGGATAGCAAACCGAGCCATTGTGTATGTGCTGACCAAAGGTAACTCGATACAAATAAATGGACTCGTTTGCCTCCAATACGCCATCTAAATCGGCTACATAACACAGGCAGTCTCGATCTCAGTCATTCAAGGCTTTACAGATAACTGGGTATAATAGAGACCATAGCAAAGAACTTTGTATGGCAAAAATATATGATATAGTCCGTTAGCGGGGTTGTAGTGGCACTGAAAAAGTACCAAACCATCACCACAACAACACCGCTGAATAACACTATTAAGTGAGTCACTATAGATAATGACGTGACTGTAGAATTATGGTCTACTTCGTTATTGGTGCCATTATAATAACCTAATCCTAAAATTGTATACATGTCATGATGCGACTACCTAATCTATAAGATCTTACGTGGAAGTCATGTCATTGTCAACACTTACTCATCGTACCGTAACAATTAGCAATATGATGCCTGGGGCTAGTAAAGAACACATTTAGGCTAAAAATAGAATCATATATTTAGCGTAATTAAAGACACGTTTTGGAGAATGACTGCGTCTGCGAGGCTGAGCCATGCCATCCGATTTATATGGTTGAGTATTCCCGCATTCACCATTGTTGTTCTCCTCTCCGTGTTAAATGTTGAAAGTCTAGTTTCTCAGTTATTTCCCGTTCAGTTTAAAGGGTTGTGTGGTTATGGCCAATACCACTACATAACTTCGACTTAAGAGCTTATAGACTAGCAGATATACAATGGCACGTTCACAATGTGGGGTTAGGCCTTTCACTCATGTAGCGCAGATAAGCACACTAATAAAGATTTTAAATCTCATATTGGTGCGGTGTGAAAAGACTGCTTATAACTAACCATGGACCAGTATGACTCAGAAGGGAATCGGTTAGGACTAGTTCAAACAAATACTAAAAAAGCTACTAACTTTGAAATCGTCAGACGGGTAGAAATGCCACTTTGTCTGAGAAGTTTCGGCATTAAGTCCTTAACCTAGCTTCAGGACATCAGAGAAATATCCTTAACAAAGACTTTTTGTCTAGATAAAACATCTGTTGACGTGTCGATAACTCGGATAATTTTGACGTAATTTCGTCGGTGTTTGATAAATGTATACAAATTATCCTCAAGTTACGGAAACATTCGGTAGCATCCACCTCACAGTCACTCATTGTCTGGAGGTTACCTCGGTTATGAATACTTCAGTCCTCAAAATTTTCTTGCAGTAACCATGTAGTTCTAATGTGGAATTCTCACCCTCTGTCTTGCCAAGAACAGCATATTAACACACATCTTTGGAACATTATTCTCAATATCTTGCGATTGAATAGTCTGAATTTGTCTGGTTCCTGTGTACAAAAATTAAGATTCCGAATGTCTTGCACAATAATGTTTTGCTAAATAAGATTACAATGCCCTGAACAACAATGATGACATACTTTTTCACGTGACTATGGACAGATAACTTTCAAACTATCAGTAATAAGCAAGTTATAACATCTGTTCGCTCAGAATAATAACGTAAATCTGACAGTCGCTTTTAAATACTTCATATCTACTATATGCTATTATATTAAAGCTGGACGTTCAGTATCATGATTTTTTGGGTCGATTATTATTAGCTTGGAGTATTTATCTAGAGTAACTATTGAATCAACTGTATCACGATGATGTGAACCCTTGTACGGCGACGTACATCCTTGGTTGACACAATCTACATAAACCTGAAATAAAACAGCTGCTTATCGCCACCACACAATCGTATCTCGTGATCCATGACAGTTAAGCATGGGGAAAATAGCGGGTATTCGATTTTCGATGTCTGGTCAAATGGATTTTACTGTTGTGGAGCTTTGTTTAAAGAGAGAAAAGCAGTTTTCCCAATCCTGAGACTTCCTTGGTTGTAGTGATATAATTTTAACAGGTGTTTTACTACTTCAATGTTGCTTGGTCTGACCGTTTCTTATCAAGACCTATGGAAATGGTGTGATCCGACTACCACATAATCCATTATATAAAACGTTTGGACGGAAATACAGGGTTAACAAAGACCAGTGTTAATCGTCTGCTACAACGCTACCATCATTAAGTAGCGACAATATGTATACCAATGATTCAAGCGACCATCGCTGTAATTATTACGTTCTAGATTTCTTACATCTCACAAACTGTTATGTTTTCAGTTAAATATCATCCGTTGCTACAATCTTTCAAAGGAATATTTACTCGTTTCAAAAATACTCCCTGATATATCCGAACAAACAGCTGTCTAATGATCTGGAAAACACCTGAAAAATTAAATATAACTCCGTGTATTCTACTCTATGTTAACTTAGCGCTGATTATTTTATATAATATCTGTAAGCTAGGTGTTTATAGTACGTTTAAGCAGTCAGATCGTCGGGTTAGTTTCTGTTTGAAGCACTTTGAAAGCCTTCTGAATGTTTAATTTAAAGGACACAAAATGGAATCTCTCAATAGATCGTCAACACACCCTTATGTTTCTTATTATTTTCGTTTACTCAGGTTACAAAATGAAAGTATAAGCAATTCATTTTTATCGAGCACAGCCCTTCAAAAATCTTTTCGCTCCACTTTTATTGACTTAAGACGTAATGCTTTATTACGGGAATTGTTGTGTTTTATTAGGACAATCATGTATAGTTTTGCTTTAACCGCGGTTTTTTATTTCAGGTTTGCGATTTCGCTTCCGTCGTACGTTTTTGTTAGTGTGTTAACCGTCTCCGTGTATTGTTGCGAAAATATTCGTGCTCAAGATAGAGTAAGAAAAGCTATTTTAATTTTACCGATTTTTGCTCGGAGTGTCTTACAATCCATTTATTTGATCAACTGTAATGCGTTATATATATATATATATATATATATATATATATATACGTCAGCAGCCCTTTTTTATATTCTTTGGTTTGGCAAGACCTCATGTTAAGTTTTCTTTGGATTTTCTCTGTTACTGGGTACTTTATTTTCAGTCTAGTTTTCGTATCCCATTGTGTTCATATTTGACTTTGTATATTACCTGTCTATTCTGACTCACAAAGTATCCAGTGATTGACGTTGTGAGCCTTGGGTATTCAGTATTTTATATCAATTTCACGACATTTAACCTCATCACATGTCTCGTTCTTTCTCATGTTTACCAGGATAATTCCATATAACTACATTTATTTCCAATAAGATACCCTATTGCTCATGTGTACGCTTGTGCGTTATCTTACAATAATTACCTTATATATTAGTGACCATAACCGATAGGCATTTTTGACATGTTGGTAGATTAAATACATGTTACTTAACAGTGTTAAAAATTACTTCGAACTAGTAAATTACAAACTTATTGGAGGTTGGTACACCAAGACCCTATTATTTGATGCTTTGCTTGTTATCAAGTCCTTAAATTATCTCTGTGTAACCCAATTGTATGATAAATAGAAGTATTCAAATCGATGTACTAAGAATTTCTGAAAAGTGCTGTTTAAGGCAAGTGGAACTAGATGAACACAAATGAACAAATTGCACTTGAAATCCGTAATCAACGGGGAATCAATTGCAGAGGAATCATTGGTTCGTACAAATACCACAGATTGTTGTCCGCCACATTGATTTTCTTGGTTTCTGAGTACGAACTAATATTGGTCTCTCCATTATCCAGTGAATTTCGAAATCTATTTTCCACACTTTGTCCATCAATAAAATACAAGATAACAGATAAAATTGTTCGATAACGTGTTGTATCTGAGCTTTTTTCCGGAACTAGTATACATAATATTTTTCGTTATTCACGAAGGTAGTAGCAACTCATGATAACGGTATACTTGTTGTCATCACCTGTCTAGTGTTAATTTAAATATTGTAGACAAAGCGCTTCAGTAGAATACAAATAATTTGACCATATCCATGTTAGGAGAATTAAAACCTAGTATTCAGTTTGGGCACCTCGTCAGTATCACAGTCCTCACGCAAATCGAATGAGATTTGTGTGGCACACATGTATGTGGTGCTTCCTTGTACCAATATTTATGTGTTTAAATAAATCTAAATAAATAAAAACAAGCTAGGTAAAGCCAAACCGAGATGTAGCATCAGTTAATGAAGTAATTGGGCGCTAAATTGAGCTTTGTTGTTAAGTGTAAACTATCTGGTCGTGGTCCGCGCGACTGTTGTGATCAATTGTTTGAGATATTAAGTTACATGGCTTAAAATTAGCTCTAGTGATGCATCCACTTTATCTATTAGATCCTGAGTGCAAAAAACTTTACACTCTTTGTTTCCCAAGTACATCCTCGAGTCAAATCTTTGTTGCTCTCACTAACATTTCCATTACTTTGGTATTTGTCTTGTTAATTTTTTCTCCCTGCTGATGTAGTATGGCAAGTCGGGCCAGTACACATTTGTGCTGGTTTCTGATGTTGCTTATGACTTACTAGCTAATCTAAATAATGTTAGTGATATTTTTCAGCAAATAATCATAAAGAAGTAACCAAACTGCATTCATCGCAGTCTCTACTAGTCTCATATGACACAGACTAAAAGATCGCAGCAAAAGTTTGGCTAAAAAATAGTTTACGTGGTTCAAGCAAAGGTAAATATATTTCGCAGCCTTAGTTTTGTCGAGAAGTTTAGAATATTAACGTGAGATGGTTAAATAAACTGTACACCACTAAGAGTTACCAAGTCGGTAATTCCTTAAATCTAGCACCAAATTATGGGTTTAAAATTATTCTCAGTAGCCTTAATAATGAATAATTTGTACTTTGTGATTAACTTTATACTTAGGTTCTCTAACATTATCTGAAGTGATAAGATAAGCGTTCAAAACTAGTGTCATGCGTTTATCCAATTAAATTAGCTTCAATGTATTGTTTTGGTCATATATATGAGGTGTAAAGGAGTTCTCAGAAGGAATATACAGACACGGAAAGCCATTACGAACCCATCTAAAACGATGTTCACTACTTATACTTCAGATACTTCACATATATATTTTCTAACAGGATATTTGCTATAATATGTGAATGCGGTATAAATAAATAATGCACCTCCAAAAATCCTAATTTTTGCATACTTTTCTGATGCTAAGCCTACCTTGAATACACGGGCACAGACTATGTGGGATAGAAATCCACTGAAAGATCGAATAGCTTTCTCGTCAATATGTCTTCGGTAATGTGGATGTAAAAAAGTTCACTTTTATTAGAGAACAGAGAGCTCTCTCCTGAACACGTTAACGACAGGTTTGTGATGTCTTTCTGAGATATATAGATTAAAATCAAGATTTTATGTTATGTAACCTGTGTCTATGTTGTGCGTAAACTTTAAAAAAGTGAACCATATATTCTATGACTAATAAAATTGTTATCTCAATCTAGTTAATGTATTGCATTTTGTTTTTTCCTTTTGTAATTGTTTTATTTATATTACCTAATTTGCTTTTTTTTACGTTTTATTAGGTTCATTTGCATGAGATTTCATGTTTACTCAGAGAAGTAATGATATATTTAAGTCAGTTTGCGAAACTGGTTACATATTTACGCATAATTTAATGTTCTAACGCTTTCAAAACATGGAGGATGATGTAATACTACAATTATTTTAAAATCGTCATCTGATCATATGCTGTATGGTATTCCAAGGAAATCGGTCTTAGTGTTTTTTGTTTTTACGGAAGTTGTTGTACATGTCTTAAATCTGACCGTTAGTCATAATGCATCGATCCCGGCTACAACTGAATCAAAGAATTTGCGTGTACTCTACCGTTTTTACAAGCCTGAGAATCTTGATTTCGTGTATGTCGCAAGTGTGAATTCAATCAAACAATTTAGTGTCGATAAACTGCATCTTGTTGCAGAACGTATTACTGGTCCACATAACTTCTCCATCTATTGTCTATCGAATGGTGATAGCTGTGAAAAGTGTATGCATGTAGATCGGTCATCGTTTCCCTTCGGTTATGGTTCTGATTTCTGCCTCCCCCATCCAACTAACAACTATGTAAAAGCATGGGGTACTTCAGGCTTTCCAGGCCCTGAAATATACAGTTTCAACTACTCTGAGTGGGATCATGAATCTCATTTCGTAAATGATGACAGAATAACCTTCGAAGATGGCCTATATGTATGCAATACTGTCTTTCATGGGTACTGTGAAAGGCTTGGTTTGATAAATGTCAGTCAAGAATCCCCATGGTCAATCGGTACAAGAAATCCACTAGTAGACAAGAAAAACAAAAATCCACAAGAAATACCGGTCGTTGGATCTCTTCCCTATACACATTCTGTTCTTGTTGTTGGTTCAGAATATATCTATGTGGGCACAGAGCCTGATGGACTCCAAGAACACACACTCATTACATTTGATCCACTAACTGTGCGACTAAAAAACTTTCACTTATGTAGCACTCAACCTAGTTTTGAAAGCAGAGCACAGTTGTCAACAAATCCGAGCTTACGGATACAATATAAGTCTGCTTTCCGATACAGATCATTGCCAAATAATTTGAACTTCCAAGATCAACTGTTTAGACCTGCTTATGTATACTTCGTTCTTCAGCAGCCTGAAAGTTCATCCTTTTTCCGGTGGCAATCACGAATAGCTCGCGTGTGTGACGGAGATAAGTTTATTTCCTCTTACGTTGAACTGAATATAGCATGTTTTGAGTGTATATTTGAAGATGATGAAAAAGTGAGTATTCATCAATTTTTCATATCAGTATAAACGAAGCAATTGTTTGAAATTTATAACTCATCATATCTTTACCAAAGTAATCTAAAATTTGAATAGTGTCTTACGAAGACGAAGATTATCAGAATTATGTGATATATTAGCCCAATACATATCGAACAGTACAATCACATATATAATCTAAAATTGTTCTGCATTGACCTTAATCACTCGCGAAAATTATCGCTTAGAACATATAATTGATCCTAAAACCGCCAAGATATAAATAATATCTTTGATGATCTAGGTTATGACTTTATTACGTAGCATTTACTGGAAAATATATTTAAGTACAGAAACATTATTGGCAAACAGAAATGCTTAAGGTAAAAGTCATTTCTGTTAATGGTTACAAGCCTTGCAATGTAGGTTGTCAGAGTGTAGAGAAATTTCCCACTGAAATCATAGTATTCCAACTCCAATCACTTTTTAAATAGTTTGCCTTAAAATGGATTTTAAAAGTAATGGATATTTTGTAGGTTCTTTATGTTTCTTTCTCGATGTATAGAAGTAATCTAATCTGGCTTTCCGAATGGGCTCTTTCTTAAACTACTATTAACTAATGCTAAAATTTAATCACTAAACTCATATAGGCACCCATAAGGAATAATTGTGAACAGTAGGTTTCATGGCTCTATCATCTATTTTACTTTTTTATTCTGTATCTCCCAACAAAGTCTGTTAATTACCTAGATCTTAAATTGATATATTTCATTCTTTGAGTTACAAATCTATCTGCTTTGTGTGATTTCATGATTGATAACTGATAGAACTTGACCACTTCCAAATTTTTGAACGAACTGTCAATTTTGGGAATATAGGTTTACTTACACCATTTTTTTGTACTTGTTCAAGTACAAAAATTTGGTAACCTGTTGGTAATCTCATTCTAAATAGTCAGTGCACTCTTAGCGATCTACTGTAGTCTTGATTTTTCCCAAATAAATATATCGGTTGCTTCGGATGTTTGAGCGGTATTGTTTTTGGTCATATTTCGTAATCAAACAGGGAAAGATATGTCATCACACACGATTCAAAACAGAATATAATGACTTCTATTTGTTTTATTTAATTGTCTTAACATTTCCCAATCGTCTCCTACTTCTACCAGAATAGTATCCCTAGACTATCAGTATCTAAGTGTATAACGTGTTAACATTTGAAACTAAAGGTACTGGATCTGAATTTCGAAGTGGTCGTCAACCTTGTGATGCAGGTACACCCAGTTGGCGAGTCCAAAATATGAATCTTGGATACCTGATAATATTTTAAACCAATGAGTTAGATGATATTAGTTACTCGGTTCAGGGAGCTATGATGAATCACCTAATCTAAGCTTGGTAAAATATCCTGAATTCCACGGCATGGCATCATAAACAGTATACCTTTCCAAGTTTTCCATCTAGTCTCTTTGGTGATAAGCAACACTTGGTATATAAGCCTCTGCATTATTACCTATAAAATGTCGTAATTACCACAGCAAAGGTCGGAATATGACACTAACTGAGTAATGGTCTCTATTACTCCAAATTTGCGTAATAGCTCAACATTAAATTAATGGTGTTACCACACGAAAATGCTGTGCACACGATGATGATTATACACATTACTATCAAACACTGTCATTTTGGATAAGCTAGGTTCCATAAACGTGGTACAAAACTATTTGAAAGGAAGCAATGTATATCAGGTCTCTCATGTTCATCAGGCTAGCGTTGTAACAATGCCACAGTGACTTAGATCAACATATACCTTACTGGCTTTCAGTATTAAAAGATTGAACTTGTCTAACACACAAATGTTGAAAGAGAGTACATCATCAAGTATACAAAGTGAATTATTTCTTGTATCACATAGTTGTCTACAATTAGAATAGCTTTACAATCTCCAGTTCTTTAACAAGTAGTTATCAGTTCATCTCTTACTCAGAGCAGAAGTCATTACTACCCATAGTTTAACGTTTTCAAATATTTTCATCTTTATTCTTTCGAAATTATTATAACTTTTTGTGTGAAATCACATATTCATTTGATTCACTTATTTTGAACCTACGTGAACTAGTCACGTGAAGCCACTTAGAGTTGTTGTTTGCTTTGAACGAATTGATTTTTGTGCTTATAAATCATACCTGTGCCAAATCGATTTTGATTGCTTATTCTAAGATAGACATTTCTTCATCTAGCGTTTGTATTCGTGAATTAATCAAAAACTACCTATGTTGACATGTAATTTCATGGTTTTGTAATAATATTTAACCAATAAGCTTAATTAAAACAATCATATTTTGTTCATTAACGTCGACTTTGATTTGAGGTTGAAGTGGTTTTATTTTGACTCACCATAATGTCTGCATAAATTACAAGTTAAACATTCTTTAAATAAAACTGTGATCGTTTGCTCCCCTATTCTATTAATTTTCACTCTGATGGAAGATTCAGGAAGTAATTCTTGGTCACAGTTATCTATTATTACTTTGTTTTGATACTGAATACTGTCTGTTGAAAAATTTCGTATCGAAAATATCTATCTAAAGTTGATAGTTCGTCCATTTTTTTATATTAGTCATTGATTATTTCAAGATCTGACAATTTGTAAACAACTTCAGTTTAAAATGCGGAAATGATGTATTATTACAGAACACTAATGCTCACTGATCAATAGATACTATCAAGATTTGTCGCATCTGTATTTCTCCTACAGAGTTCGTAAGGAAACCCTGTTGTATTCTCATAGTTGTATAATTACTATTTCAAAGGTATCACTGTATTGGAAATGTATGTTGAAGAAGAGAAGTTTACTTACTTGTACCCTTTGCTAGTAAATGCGTCTTAAATTACACTGTCGAATGAATTTTATCAGTTATCTTGGCAAATTGTAATGTAAGCCATTATGAGAAATATTGAAATGTCCGATTGACCATAATAAACTTGCTGTGCGCAGAAATTAAACTTGGTCCTAAATATGTGGTCGAACAACGGTTTTTCATTGTTTTAAACTTTAAGACCCGGAATTAAGTGCATAGTTGCGAAACTTAAGGAAAATTATAAAGTCGTTACTTACTTGAGTAACAAAAATCTATTTATTTTCTTGACATTCCATTGCATTAGTTTTGATAGAAAAAACTGGTTTATCTTAGAATTAATGTATGATTTCATGTAACAAGCTTGATCAGGTTAGAAAACGAAGATTTTGTCTGTTTTTTTCACGAAAACTGACAAATTTCTAATTGCAGTTCTATTATTCAACATTGTCTCTTCGGGAAAGTACTTCAAAACTTGTTGAATAAATTCTATAATTAAAACATTTCATGTGTTAGGTGACAGTAGGTGGCTAATTATATCTTACTTAATATAACTTTAAAGTTAATTGGTAGACAGAGAACCTGTTAGCATATGCCTCTCTAAGTGGATTTATTTATTTTAAAAATCCGACCTTTAATCAAGGATAACGTTTACAACAGTTCTCCATAACAAATATAGTGAAGTACTGAAATGTTAGAGATTTTTTAACCTAGTTGGATGCTTTTAATAGTGTTATGTTTTCTAAGTTAATGACTTTGTGGAAAACAAAAATCCAAGAAAGGTCTTTAGGACAACTCTTGCTTTCTAGATTAAAGGCAAATCAGTGGATAACACTGTCGGTTATATAATGTTTTCCAAATTTTGGGACACATTATAATACTATAGTTGTATTGAAAATGAGCTTAGTCAACCAATAAGAGACAAGAATGAAAACAAACAACCCTTATGGTTGCTTTTATCTAATCACGACACTGAGATTTATATTTTCTTTTCAGTATATTTTACAGAAAAGTTGACTGTTA